TTTTGTGGCCGAAACAGCAAACATACACTACACACTGATAGCAGATTTCCGGCTTTTCAATGTTAAGCTTGCTTTAACGCACTACGTAATGCGTACAACCCCTCCATTACTGCTATTTGGCATATTTTTTCATAACAAACTTTCTGCAATATATTGGTAGCATCTGTGAATTTGTCTATGGTTGTCGGAAGCCTGAGTATTTTCGAAAACAATACTGACATCCCCTACGGCTAGGCACTAAGTATTAGTTTGACTAATTGGTGGGATATTGTTGTCCGCAATACTGAAGAAAATTAAAAACCGGAAATTGTTTCCTTTCATTTTGCCGATAACATCATAGAGGACAGTTAGGAATGAACATGCGGACAGTCAGTCACAGGACGCAGCAACAGTTATTTCAGCTAAGAAAAAACGAACTTCGGCTTTTGATATCTTGAAAACAAGTCAAAACTAAACCGATTTCCATTTTAAAACATAAGACTAACCAGCTTGACTGAAGAAATACATTGACTAGAGTAGGAGCAGCAAAAACCCAAAAAACAATGCTGATTCGAAGTAAATTTCACATCAACATGTAGAACCCTACACTAACTGCGGCATCTTGGCACATTGAAACATTAATTACACAGGTACACAAAAGAAATAGCTAAAAGAAGAACAGAACGAAGAAAGCCGGCCGCCATTACGTACAAAGATGGCGGATATAATAATTCCCGCCACATTCTGATTGGTTGCTAAGCTGAAAGGCACATTTACGAAATTGAGTTGCGTTTAATTGCAGCCCCGTATCGCAATGCTTTTGTTATTTTGCTCCCATTTAAGTATTCCCATGCATCTGCGTCTAGTTTAACAGGAAGACATACAAATAGAGTATCTGATAAACTAAAAGTCCCAGTTGTCAAAAAGATTCTTAATATTTGTCCACAGCCAGCTGCATTTAATTGAGACACAGAACACTCATCTTCTAAGACTGTATACTGCTGTTTTGCGGGCAACTAAAAGCTCAGACGCTTAGCTATCTTGCCACCGATGTTATTGCTGGAGAAATTGTTGAATGACAGTGATCATGAAATATGGTCGGTGATAGATGTATAGTCTAGAAATAAACAACAAACATACTTATCGCTATCTTATAATGTATTACAGCAACAGCATCAAAGGCACGTTTTTTCCTATTTTTAATCAGACTGATCTGAATCAGTATACTAATTAGAAACAGGCGACTCTACTTACTAGACTGATCTGTTTCGTCACAGGCTTCAAGCAATATAATTAAGTATACCATAGTTCTTTCAACTAAACTGAATTATACAACAACCAAGAATACTAATCTAAGCAAGTGTCATAGTTATTGTTTCATTTACACAGATATGTTGCTTAAAGTAGTTAAATGGATATAATTAAGACGATAAAACCAAAACACGAAATATAGGCCAGTTGAACTTACCTAACAGAAGACAAAGGAAATATATATTGTTTGATACTGAAAACAACAGGCAGTTGTTCATAAAAACATAGTTTACAGTACAACAAACATTTCTTCAGTAAAATCATGCACTGACAGTCTATCTGGAAACAATCAACTATGTGAATATACTCACTATGACTTGAGATATCATCCCAGCGTGCAATGGACGTGCAGTGTAACGCAGTCGGACGTGGCGAATAAAAATTGAAAAAGAGCAAAATTAGCTGCATAATCTAGTTATTTAATTGAAAATACATTATGAAATGACAAAATATGTGGTTACTTGAACGCACAAATGACAGTATGCGATACATTAAGTTTACATGGTTGCGTTGCGGATAAGATCACCCGATGTTTCTCACGTCTCGGATATTTTTCGTTCTGCCAGACTGAAAGAAGCAGCTTCAATCGTAGCAAAACCGATTAGTGTAATGTTTTCACATTCACCAAGCTGAGCTACAGTGACAGAAGCTGGTTCACATTACACTATTTTTTTAAACGGGTTGACTCAGCTAAATTCCAGGCCACCGGTCAACAGAACTTTTCTCGGTACCCTCAAAAATTATGAAGTCATTGATATGCAACTGTCTGCATGACCACTCACTGTCCATAAGCCTCTGTTCACTCCAGTAGAAAGGTTTCAGGAGTGGTTTCTTTTGTATAATCAACTCGACGACCACAGTCGACAGATGAACAACCACTACTGATGGCAAGGAGAGTTGAGGTCCTACTTCTTCACTTCTGAAAAGTCATTTATATGGTCAATCATATACGTTTAATTAATAAGCTCAAACGATTGTGTATCAAGTCACCATTTATTGATGAGCTCACTTCTCATTTAAATAATCGACCTATTGAGGTCAGTGGAAACTTCACTTTTTCTCAGACTACTGGATGTCCAAGTGGGGTTCCTCAGAGCTCAGTCCCAGGACCTCTTCTTTTCTTAATTTCAATAAACGAGCTTTCTCACAAATTATTATCTGATTTATTGGTTTTCGCTGGTGATGTGAAACTCTGAAGAGATGTTTGCAACTAGTATAATCATCTATCAATTCAGGAAGATGTGGCTCGACTTTAACATTGAGCAGACAACAATGGACTTACTTCCAACACTTCAAAGTGTGATGTAGTTCATCTGAGATATGTTGCGAACTACACTTACAACCCACTTCATGGGACTTCCTAAGTTAAGAAGGATCTAAAAGTGTTGGTGCATTGTGATCTATAATTTTGAGCTAACAGAATAAAATGCCTTCCCAGGAAACTTTGCACTGGTAACGATGAAAATCATTTTTTACTAAGTCCAAAAGCAGATTTTTGACATTATGGAAACGTGTTTTCCTTTCACTCGGAAAGGATAAGAATATATTGGAACGAATTCAACCGCAAGCTACGAAACCAATTTATGTAATCAAACTTCATCAAGACATTCTTATGTCGGTGGGTCCTGACACATTAGAGTATAGGCGTGACTGACGTGAACTTTTTATTTCTTAAAGCCTTCTAGACATTACCGAGCATCACCTAAAATACTTACTTAGGCTCAGTCCCGAGACAAACGATAGTTGCAATGCACAGAAACCAGAGAAAGATAATAAAAAAGTTGTTACAGGGAAATTGAGGACATTGGCGGATTAAAACCTTTTTATTGTATATTAATAATTCACTGTGTTTAGGGATATATTTGTTTTACTTAACTTTTGAACTCGTTTGTTTATATCATTATTTCGAACATTTCGGTTTCCCTTTGTCGTTGGTTTGATATTTGGTAGTTTTCCTCCAGGAACCTGCAAAATTGAGTAACGACATTTGATCGACTATTTGTGAATTGAGAATAAACTTGGTATCTAAAAATCGGAGTTTGGTTCTGTTGTTAATTTGGGTTTGTAATTTACAAGTATATCGATAGTCCGTACTTCAATAACTGAAACGAGCAAAGCTTGGACGTAATAAAACTTCCTACAAGTTGAGGTAGTTGAAGTGAATTTTTGAGAGTTCTTATAAAAGGACACAGAACACCCCTAGAGACTCAGGATAGTATTTCATCACTCATTTTTCGCTTTGTCCCTTCAACTGTGGTTAGGTTTATACCTGAAAGCATCAGTTATGAATTGGTACCAGGTACGAAAGCCCGCAAAGCCAAAGATTACATCCCATCTTAGACACCAATCTTCAAAGGAGGTCGACGCAGCGAACCTTCAGTCTACTGGCCCGTGGCTCTTCCCTGTATACTTTCAAAAATTATGAAGTCCCTGATATGCCACGGTATACACGACCATTTATTGTCCTTAAACGTCTTTTTAAATCAGCAGCATAGTTTCATGAAGGGTGATTCTTGTATAACGAAAATGCCAACTGTGGTGGACAGATAGACAACCATCCTTGACGGCAAAGGGGAGGTTGACATAATCTACCTTGACTTCTCAAAAGCTTTGATAGGGTCAACAATATATGTCTTATCAATAAGCTCAAACGATTGGGTATCAGATCACCTTGAATTAATTGACTCACTTCATAACTAAAAAGTCGACATTTCAAGACCAGAGTTAACTTCACTTTCTCTCGGGCTATGGAATGTCCTAGTGGGGTCCCCAGAGTTCAGTACTAGGACCTCTCCTTTCTTGATTTATATAAAAGATCTTTCACAACAGGTGTCTTCTAACTTATCACTTTTTGCTGATGATTTGAAACTTTGGAAAGAGATACGCAACCAAGAGGATATACTGGCACTTGTAGAGGATCAGAGTCGAATTCAGAGTTGGGCAGATGACAATGGACTTAGCTTCAACACTTCAAAGTGTGAAGTAGTCTATCTGATACGTGTTGCAGACTACAGGTGCAACTTAGGCAACTCATCTCTGGAAGCATCTCAAGTTGAAAAAGACTTAAGGGTGCTGGTACCCTACGATTTGAAGTCTTACTCTAAATGTGACAAAAATGCCTTTCAAGCAAACCTTTCGCTGATAACACTGAAGAGCATTTTTGGCCACGAAATCAGTTTGAGGACTCAAACGCAAGCCTTATGAAGAGCGCCTTCAACCACTAAACATTTACTCATTGAAGTAAAGGCGTCTTTGGGGTGATCTTTTAATGGCTTACAGCATCTTCAACAATTCTGGACATACGCTTAAACACCTATTTGAGTTTAGCTCTAAAACAGACCTAAGGGGTAATACTCATAAACTGGACACATAACACAGCAGAACAGATTGTAGACACAACTTCTACTCCTTAAGATCTGTCAAATTCTGGAATTCGCTGACAAACGACCCGGTCCAAGTGACATCCCAGGAGTCCTATAAGAAAAAACATAGACTATTCTTAAGTAATGAGGATAATATCTTACTATGATTTACTAATTTCTTTTTCCTCTTTTGTCGTTAATATACCGAGGTTCCTGCCTTGAGTTATTGGTGATCCACTGGTGCTAGACACGGAGGCCCGTTAAGCGAAAGCTTCTTTTATTCTGTCTACATTTATTTGGACCATTTGAATCCACGACCTTTTGACCCATTTTACAACCATGGTGGTTGATTCAGAATTGACGCTACAACGTGTAATGGTTTGTCGTGTAGCATGTTGAACTTTGTTTCTAGTTTTTATCCCAAAATTGTTGTAATCTTAGGCTTGTGTTATTTTTGATTGTTATTGTTTACTCTTATCATTAAATGTGAGTTTATTGTGTGCGCTTGTTCGGTCGTTGTCTTACTGTTCCTCATATTCTGTTTTCTTGCCCTTCTCACTCACGTTATTCTACGTGTTTCCCTAGCACACAAAGTACCTTATGGACAGGCGTAAACCGCTATCGCGAGATATTCATTGATTATGATGACAACTTATAAGACATTTCATTCTTAGATTATTTTAAATATCTTGGTGATGATATTAATATTCAGTGCACGCTCAATTCATTATCTGCATCTTACTTAGAATGTTGTCTGAAAAAATAGAGGCAATAAAACAGTGGTTAAACTTTATCAAGAGGTTATTGCATTGTATATGAAGGAAAAGTCCTTTAGTATTTAGCTACAAGACAATTACTCTGTTCATCGAGCCAAAGACCGTTGCGTTGTCTACTTTTGCGGAGTTTTTCTATTCACACTAAGCTAGATGAAAAACAACCGTCGAGAAGCATATTGAAATCACTATGAGAGCTTGGTGTGAATTCTGGAGAGCATAAAACATTTCGACACTTCTCCCACTTTTGGAAAATGGTTATATGTTCTCTCTTTCATGTACTTCACGGAAACATTTCTCTAAAATGTTTATGTCTTGGTATAAATTTACGCAGTATGTAGAATTTCTGAACCATAACTTGTCAAAAAACATGGTTTTTCGTATATGGTTCCATTCACTCTAGTTTCTCCTAAACTAAAACTCAAGTATCCTCACCATTTTGCGACTTCGTTTACATTTTCTCATCTAGTTTCAAAAAATATTGGTTGACTTATATTAGTGTGGGTAATGTTAAGGTATCTGCATTTTATTGATTTTGTGTTATTGAGGTCACTTTTTCTGTGATTTTCCTTCTAAGTTGCACCTCATACGGATCGTCTTCCCCGAGATGACTAACTCCTACCAAATACAAGTACGTCGTTTATTCAGGAGAGTTCTCACCTTTTCTTAATCCTATTCAGAGAAAATTATGGGTAATTTGTCTTCCTTTTTGTCTATTAAAAGTAACTCGGTCATTACACGTCTGATATTGATTTCTAATTATATGTGCGTAGTTTACTAGTTTTATTCGTGTACGATAAAACAATCGACCGCTTACATACGGTATTATCTACAAGCGTACTATAATATCTAAAAATCCACGTCAGATCGATTTAGAAACTTTATTATTTGTCAGTTTTCTGATAGTTAAACGACAGTTCAACTGTTATTTGGATGATTATGTTTCATTTGCTTCAGAGGGTAGGCGTATATTTAGATCTTTCACCTCAACATGACTTTAAACGTAATGTCATGATGACATACTTGGGAAGTTTATCATGCTTAATCAATTCAAAAATACTAAATGACTAATTATCATTTATATTCGTGTTGTTAATTTGAACTTAATACTTTGTGGTTGTCAGCAATACCCAAAACAGTCTTCCAGTACGCACAAGAGAATTTCTTTGAGGGTCAATGTGTCAGAGATGATCTGAAATCATCCAAGATTGTCAGCGTTAATTGTCTTTTGGATATTTATAGAAATTCAGTTTTAACGGAATTTCAAACCACCAAAAAATCAAATATTCGACACCTCACAGCTAAAAAAACTTTGCAACGACGTTACTGCTTCTCAGGTTGAAGTATGCTAACTTAGCGTTTACTGTAGAAAGGCTTACAATATATTAAGACTTGCAAATTTATATTCAATTCTGTAGTGTCTATGTATATTCTTAGTTTACGTGTTTGATGGCTCTTGCTTTCATTTTCTTTCAGATCCTAGAAACCTGATACTTAGAATTGATATCTACATTAACCAGAGCAATACAAGATTTTCGGATCTAAATGACTTTTGAAAAACTTGGTGTATGTTCTGAAATTGTTGAGTTGCTACGAGATAAAGGGATTAATACACCTACGGAAGTTCAAGAAGGTTGCATTCCAATAATTTTGGAAGGTTTTTTCCGTAGTTTCTTAATGTAGTTTTAGGAAACGATGTAGTAGCATGTGCGAAAACTGGTTCTGGAAAAACTGCAGCATTTTTGATCCCCATACTTCAGTCACTAATGACTGAACTCAAACCATTATATGCTCTAATAATTACTCCAACAAGGTACTGGTTATTCAGAATTTTTGTTTATATTTTTTTGACATAATGGTTTTTGGGATTTAGCTAACACCTTTTTTCGAGAGATGCTTGAGTATCTTGACTAGTCGGAAGAGCTTTCCATTTTAGACAAACTTTAGTTTGTTAAGTTAATGAATTTTTTTTAGCTAAAATGAAATGTTCCATAATAGTTTCTTTCAAATGAAACCAAATTGACTGGGAACTTTGATATATGGCGGAAAAATATAAGATTGTGAGTGCGGGATTTAAGATAAGTGATTCCGAAATTCATTATCAGATGATACACTCATGATACCACGTCTTTTAATTGGTTTGACCAGTATTTTCCATCATATTATGCCTTAAGTGATCCATGGATCACCGTTTTTGAAAATATCGCAAATTCGCCTTACGGGGATAATTGTCCACAGTTAACAGGACCTTATCATCTGTGGCTCTTACTATTGTAATAACAAGAAACTACCAGAACAGTTAGTCCCTAAATGAAAAATAGCATTCATAAATCGCACGCCAATTAGTTTAAAATATCGTCCATGCTTTACTGCATGCTAATATCAGTCAGCTATAACGTAGGAGTAGGCACATATATGCATGGATACAATTTACCACACCTCATTAGCACAAGGAGGTGAACACCAAGTTTATAAAAGTACTTACTTCAATAGTAGTAATATATAAAAGATTGTACATAGATATAATACAGAAAGGATTAGTTGTTAGAAAGGTATAAAGCAACTTAAATACCACGATGTAAGGGAAGACAAATAGTGTATACACCTGCACCATTGTGATTTATTCTGAACCATGTCACCCAGAGTCTTCAACCATTGATTACGATAAATCGCACTGGCCCTAAACAAGTAGTCTGTATCTACTAACACGGCTCAGACTAGAAGCTAGTGACTTCATTCTAAGATTCATCCATTCAAAACTACTATCATTATTTTAAATGTGCCTGCAAACAACGAGTGGGATATCTCTGAAGTTATTACGGACATTGCAATTCTAATACTAACCAGCTTCGAAGGACGTATTCTTGAGTTAACCTTCAAGTCACAATTTTTGTGAAGAATGATGCTATTATCCAGGTGCCCCGAAATGCCCTAGTACGGCCGAGGGTTAGGAGAGTCCACTCTCCCCCTCAAAATGCTCTCACATGGCTACGCGTACACAGCAATTGCTAGGGAAGTCCTACTCACCGCCTTTTCGCGGCAGTGTTATTTACGAAATTAAGGTTACTAAAAGCAAGTGTCCGGCATTCTAACCCGGTCGGTGAATATGAAGGATCCACCTAGCGGAGTTGAAAAACCGTGGTTCAAGACCAATGATGCACATGAGCTTTATGATATTTAGGGGACAAATGGCGTATGAAACTATTGTTGATCACCATATACCGTCGAACTGCATATCATAACGTTATTCCACTGCCTTGTGGATTAAACCTCTGAACCGAAGGCTCGGGGTGTGGCCCCCTAAGAAAACCACCTGCTTCGAATTGGGTACCCGAGCAGTATTCCAGCCCTCACACAAATCAAATGATTTATGTGGCACATATGCATTTGGTGCCTCCTTGGACCAATTTTTATGTGTGTAAACAATAATAATACCCCAATGCCCAAATAAAAGTATTTAAGGTGAATTTCGGACCGAAGATCCAATGATAGAGAGTCAAGTGCTTTCTCCTTTAAGGTTTGAATTGGTGATGCTCACTTTAACAGTTCGGGTGTACATGAATAAAATTTGTCTCAACATACTATTATGGTTATTGTTGTAAAACGATCCCATCCACTGTGATATATAATCAAACACACATCGACGGATCTAGATTTTTTAAAGTCATTTCTTATTGTATCTAGCAATTTTACAAAGATAACCATAATCAATAAACAGAATCTATAAAGTGCAACAGGCTATGGGCGTATTTATTTTTGTAAAACGTTTTTCAAGGCGTTGTTATAATGTACGGGCCTTAATGGTTATTAAATTGTGAAATAATGTTTGTCGACGTGTACTGAGTCTCATTTTTTTCCGATTGGCAGGAGGACGCTTATAACCGTATATATCAGTTGAACAGGCTGAAAATTCTTATGTTTTATCTCACTAACTATTCCTAGATCTGACTGACTTATGTAACGTATACACGTTTTTGTTGTTTTAGAGAGTTGGCGCATCAAATTGGTGAACAAGCCGCTGGGTTAAATTTAATCCAAGGTGAACCACTATGTAACGTATTAGTGATAACTGGTGGAAGAAACATAGTTCATCAGAGTATTGACTTAGCTCGATCTCCACATATTATCGTTTCTACTCCTGGACGGTTGGCTGATCTTCTGCGCACCCAGATAGCCGCGCAAGAAGCTGATACTGAGAATAAGCCAGAATGGACCTTATCCAGAACAAAAGTGGTGGTTCTAGACGAAGCAGATAGACTGTTGGAAGATAATTTTGGTGAAGATTTGAACACTATATTGAAAGCACTTCCGAAACGTCGTCAAACGTTACTTTTTAGCGCTACATTCAGTGGTGCAGTCAAGTCTTCCTTAGAGGCTGCAAAGTCAGTGGCCTACGCTGAAAACAGGCGCCTTCCTATTTTATGGCAACCTGAATGCATGACTACGTGTTCATCTGCAGGGGCCGTAACTGTCGAGACGTTAAGTCAGTATTATATTCTGATGCGCCCTGAACACAAAGAAGCATTTTTGGTTCATACTGTCGATCAATTTCTTTCTGAGAATCCACATTCACTCATTATGATTTTTACAAATAAATGTAAATGGTGCCATCTTATTGGATTAATGATGACCAGTCTAGGTATTAAAACAACCTTACTTCACTCCTCTATGACTCAGAAAAACCGCATATCTTCGTTGACTCTTTTTCGTTCTAGTCAGATCCGTGTTCTGATTGCAACGGACCTGGCAAGCCGTGGACTTGATTTTCCAACAGTTGATATTGTAATTAATCATAATGTTCCTATTCGACCTAAAGATTATGTCCACCGAGTAGGCCGGACTGCTCGGGCTGGGAAAGCTGGTTTAGCATTGACATTGTGTGACCTTTTTGAAGTAAAACGTTTAAAAGCTATCCAAACATTTATCAGTAAGTCACAATTTAAATTGATTGTCCTAAAATAATCTCCGAAAAATTTTTCTTTAGAAAAACAAAATTCGTATATTATACTTGTAATAATTTTCCAATATCGTCTAGTGACTTTAGTGCGATTCTGATCACAAAATATGTCCTAACTTGCTGTTTAGTAACACTTCAGTTAACAACCGGCGTTATAAAAAAACAAATCAGTTATGCACAAACATACCGGGAAATCCCCAATCTTACTTCTTAAGATGTGATTAGTAGTTAAATATTTACCACTATAAACGAGGAGATTAAATTTAGAACAATTAAAAAAGTACAAAAAAATCACGTACAGGTTTATACGCGAAGTCGACGTATACAAATACGAAATGACAAACGTCAATAACTGATTTCCTATTCCCAATGTTAAACTAACGTAAATTTGTGATAGGCTCTACGTTATGACGGACTCAGTAAATAATAATCTACCAAACCACTTAGCTGTATGAGAACTAAACGTATATATATATATATATATATATATATATATATATATATATATATATATATATATATATATATATATATATATATAATCAGTACACGGTTGCATTGTTGTTGATTGTGAACTCCATTCTTAACCGTTCTTTAGCTTGTAAAAACAAGAATTACTGCCTGTCTTTACATTAATGCAGTTATCGAGCTCAACACACTTCAGTAGAAATTATATGGGTATATTAAGCATGGAAATCCTATCTCCAGCTCCGATTAATTTAATTTAGTGACTCCCATTTAATCGATTTCATATTTATGTAAATGCAATTGTTATACAATGAGTGAGACTGCTTACATTATGACCATTCTGGCAAATAATTCATTGGATAGCCTCAATGTTATGTACAAAACTAATGAAAGATTTCAATTTGATGCATATAAATTGATAACATTAGCTGTTGCATTTCGTTATTCCTCAGTACCTTTCTCAAATAACTACCAAGATCCACTTAATCTGGAGGTATAAAAGGGACAAATTCACTGTAAATTATCATCATACATCAATATTCCTGTTTGCTTAAGAATGGGATTTGCTGTATTTCTTTTAATTTTAATTCTGTGTTGTTACAGGTGCTTAACCACAAGTATCTCATTGATCATATTTTATGCAGATAAGGAATTGAAGACATTTGATGTGAACGAAAGAAAAGTAGCTCAAATAATTGCCGAAGTATCTATCGCTCGTCGTGATGCAGAACGCGTAATTATTATAATCACTATTTACATTGAAATACATTTTCTAGAAACTAGATGAAATTAGATTCGATGAGAAGCGTGAAATCAACAAGGCAAAAAATGTGAGTTATTACTTTGTGTTTTTAATAGATCTTTTTTTCTAGCTGATGAAGGCCAGAACGTCGAAAAATTTAAATAAAACTGAAAATCTAACTTCCTAAACTTTCTTGTAAATAAATCCTTTATTTTTTCTGATAGTTTTGTCTGTTGATTAAAATTCTCAATGGTAAGGTAATGTCTGCAATTTCTGGGGATCATAAAATAGTAAATACGTAACAGTTAATTAACTGAAATAGTTCTGGCAAATTATAGTGAAAAATGATGTTTCCTGGCAGCCTAACTAAATTATATACAAATATCTGCAAATTACCTAGTGGACAGAAACTTTGTATTAAGCCGTATATTTTTTACTAGTTTAACAGTGGTTCAGTAATTAAGACATCAAATTTTCGACCATTAATTTCTAAATTTGAACTTCGGTCTATCTACTTCAGTTTAAGCAACTGGCTAGTGTCAGTGGCCCTCACACTCAAAGCCATATATACTAAAATGTACTTGGCAAATGAGTTAAATCAATAACAATATATCTTTACCAACGAACTTGACAGCACATTCATGTAAAATTTGTTACAGGTATTTACAACCAAATAAAAAATCGTCAGGATGAAAGGGGAACAACTAAATTAAAATAATCAACTGCATCTACCTCTTAGTTACTGTATATATCCTTTGTAACTATTTACTTCTTGTTATTACGAGTAGCACATTTATTTCGCTTTTCTGCACATAATTTGAATGACAATTCATGACTGTTACAACGGCTTTTAGTACAAAAGATTTTTTATTTTGATAGATTTACAATCAGTTATAGTGTAGTTAAAATGTGTAAATAGATAACTGCGTGTATTTTGATTCTTTAAATGCGCTACATTCAACACATTGGACTTTAGGATCCGGAGTACATATCCTACTTTTAAACTCATCACTTACACCATAGTAATGATGAAACACAAAATCCTCACTAAGTATGGTCTATAGATTCCTATGCTCAGACGACCACTGCTTTAAATGCCAAATACTTGGAAAAAACTGTTACTGCTGAATGTCTTTAATAAGATTCCTTTGTAATTTGTTTCCAATGCAAACCAAAGGGTAATCATACGTAAAAGTCGAAGGTGGAGATCTGGTTACGTCAATTATGAGCCTCAAGTAGCAGAAGTGTGGATAGAATACAGTTGAATCGCATATAAAAATCCAAATGCGTACCATAAAAGTGAAATACTTCGCATTAAGAATCAACAGGCGAAGAAAGTCAACGATGATGTCTCGTAAAAAGTACTCTACCTACGCTACCCATTCTGTTGGAGTACATTTAACCGGTTAACGATGTTAACTCAGTTACTTCCATATTTCTGTTCTATCATACGTGGTATTTTATGACAATATTCTCCACAACATTAAACGATAATTTTCGTGACAGAAATCACTAGGCATTAACTGCGCACGTACAAGAAAATGTAATATATTGCAAATGTGTTTTTATATAACGTAATTAAGATAACTAGTGTACATTAGTTTACAGTTTATTTCTATTTATAAATGAAGTAGTACCATTAATTAACAAAGAAAAAGATATTTAAAAATGTTGAAATTGTAGAGCAACTAAGAATATATATAATCTTTAAAGCATAGCATAATTCCTTTTAAGCTCATGAAATAATTAAGAAGACATGTACACAATGACATCAGGAAACGATTAACCTGATTAAATAAAAAAAGACCAGCAAAAGTAAGCAATAACAATATTAACTATTAAGATAGATATGCATAAAAAGAATATATGAATACACAAAAGAATCATTATGAAAGAAAACTACAGAGAATTCAAGTATACACTCCAAATAAACTATACAACAGTCATTTTTAAGTGGAATGATAGTGTTTGCACAACATTCCCGGGGACAAAATACAACTCGCTTCAAATAATGTTTTTTAAGCTATTGTACAGTGTATTTGAAATAATCATAACTCGGTTGCTGCAGAGAGTTTTGTTGCATACAGTTATTCGTTTCATTATTGGTTTGCAATATGTGAGGCTGAGGGTATACAAAATCGCTGGCGGATAAATCATCTTGCGTGTGGTTATTTGCAACGGGTTGATGATAAATATCCGACGGTATAGAGGAAGACTCCGAAGTGGATATGGAACTGGAAGGTAGTGTATGATCGTACCATCCATGAAAAGCAGAAGTAGGATGATCAGTAATTGGTTGTCGATAGGTCCTGGAATCTGAGGCAATATCGATACTTGGTAAGTATGTTTCATGATTACCAAATGGTCGGTTTATATTGAGATATGACATGGTATGTGGTGACATATTTTCTGTAATATCACAACCACAATCACCTACTGAATCTGACGGCATAAAACAGATGGCTGATGGGCGTGTTAATCCACTTTCAGATGTTTGAACTATGCAGTCACCTGTGTTTAGGTTCGACGCTTGAAAAGCACAGTTAACATCAAGAGAGTTGTTGCGTTTGTGATCTGCAAATATAAATTTGGAAATTTCTCGTCAAGTACAAAGATATGTAAGCAAAAATGAATACTTTTTCACAGGTTGAAATCATAAGTCAATTGAAGCTAGACCACCATGGAAGCACTGGACGGCCGTTTCGTCCTAGAATGGGACTCCTCAGCAGTGCGCGTCCACGGTCTGGCACCACGTGGGGCTCGAACCCGGGACCTACTGGCTTCGCGCGCGAGCACTTAACCATTAGACCACTGAGCCGGCATCCAGCGGTGTTAATGTCTAACTTCAACCGATCCACGAAGTTGCGCCACCGTGCTTTCAGGTTTTCCATGGTGGTCTAGCTTCAATTGACTCATGATTTCAACCTGTGAAATTTCCTAAATTCTCCACAAAACTCATTCAAATAAATACTTAACGATAAGAATGTAGATTTTAGTAACAACTTATAAGTATTTTACTTCAGTATGTTGAACAAGATGTGAGTGAAACTAGTGGACACCTAATAATGATTGCAACGATATTTAGCAGAACAGTTTTCTAAATACTGATAAGATAAAGTGGAACAACAGCAACAGTATGAGCCATGAATTATCCATGTTAAACATGAAAATCATATTTAGCTACACATCTGAAGTGAATTGAAAAAAAAACAGTAGCTTGTTATAGCGGTGCTTTGTTTTACAACTTTCTGTGCAAGTATAATTATTAGTAATACTTTTTATATTGGTATACAATATAGCCCATAATTTTGTGTTGCATTGGTCTATGTGATACTTCTGTAGTTGTCACAAGAGAACAAATGCCTTGGCAATAAAAGTGAAATAATTTCTCGGAAAAGTATCTAGAAATTGAAAATGAAATATAAACAGTAAGAATTCAAACGTATCCTTTAATCGACAGCAAGTAAAGCTTCCTTAAACTATCTGATTACTTTCTAGAATAAGTGATATATCCTGGTAAATTTATCACAAAGAATTCAATCACGATCCAGTTTTGTTCTTTTAGTCATTTCACATTACTGTACATTTGGTGAGTCTTATTCAATTGGCAGTTTATATAAAAAATGAGAACAAAAGCCAGTTTTGATTGATTTTATATCGCGTTGATAAATAGAGTTTCGAAATGATTATGAGAATAGATTTCAGTGCTATGAGGAAGGGACCGAGAGAAAATGAGTAAAAAGTCACAAGTTATCATGAAATATTTATTATCATGTATTATGGATTTACTTTCAGTTAAAAGCTTAACACTAGACATTAGATTACACTCTTATTTCTGTGCATTTGTATAACAAAATTAACTTCAAAGTAATTAAAAAAACTTGGATTGTTGCTAAGGTTAAGTACTATCTTAATTAAATGTCAATTAATGCTCACTTGGATATCCATAACAATATAATTAAAGTGAAACTTACCAAAATTATTTAGCACTTGAACATCACTTGTCGGAAAATCTGTACCGTTTCGTAGTGTACCGTAATTGTTTGGCATAGATGACAAATAGTCACCAGATGCTGGATCTGTATGGTGTTGAATATTAGTGTGTTCTTGATTTGATTGCGGTATTAATTGTGTATTAGAGCATGACAAACTGTGTAATGAGTTAGGTTCGTTCAAGGATGAATCTACCTGGCCAGAAAATGGATATGATTGATGATCAATATTCGAGGATAGATTCATCTCAGTAGTACTTGGTTGTATTGCGAATCCTGGATCAAAGTGATCTGTATTTTCATTTGTATGTCTCCAGTAAGTAGACAAATGTGATTCTTTTGCTTGGTTAACTGAATGAATATAAGTCGAAGATTTAGGGTTCGGTTGAACTGGTGTCGTATTAATATGATCACGTACTATTGAACAATTAGTGTGAGTAACATGGGATGTCCTCTCAAAGAAATCTGCCTTAGCTTGACCGTAACTGTTGTTTTCCGTATAGGTACTATTTGGATTTGAAACTGAAGTCTCACTTTCGAAAGCTCTGAAATGAAATAAAGTTAATTGAATATATGCACGAAAATAAGTAGATATTCGTAGCATCCTAGTTGGTAAAACAAGGAATTAAATGAAATAATAAACAGTGAATTTTTTCATGATATACCATACAATCTATTGAGTCTTACATTTAACTAAGAACATACTTACTTCATAGAACTTGTTGTACAAATAACATATTCTACCTCCTCACTGTAGGGATTCACAAACGCTGTTAAATGACATTTAACGAACAGCAATTCAGTAAATAATTTGGAACGCATATGTACCATGATTGTGAATGACTGGCCTTTGAGCTTCCAGGCTAATCGAAAGGACAAAAACGTTATATTTTTATTTAATTCACAATAGGAATTATGACAAAGAGTAATAATATTCCTAATGCAAATGTGACATGGTTTGAAGTAACCGTGAATACTCTGACGACATTTAAAGCCAGAATACAACAGCTTCCTTCTCCAAAACACGTAGTACAAGGAAGATTTATATGATAGAGACCATTAAAAATTGTGTTTGAACACACTGAATTGTCATTTGATTACAGTGATTATAAGTTACATGACAGTCATCAAACAGAATAATCGTCATTTAAACACAAAATGACAGAGAAATAATATAATTGAATGGTATGCTAAATAAAATCGAAGTGAATTAAAAATTAAAATAGGTTAACTGATATAAATTAATGTTGTACTGCGCAAAAATCAGACTGAATTAATAAGTGAAATAAACGGAAATTACACAGAATCCATACAAAATCCAACTAAATGAAAATCATATTAAAGTCGATACACAATCTGTATTAGTTGTTTGAATCTTCCTATTGCTGTTTAGGAGTGCAATTGACCAGTCACTTTCCAGGTATATCCAGCCGATGAGTTCCAATTAGGATGAGACGCGAGTCCTGGATCCCACTGCTGGCCACTATTGATCCATGCTTATTAACACATAATCTCTTACTTAATTTATTCCTGCTAAAATATATTTAGCGATGCAACATCCCTAACATGACAAGACGTTTTTTTAGTCTTCGACTCAAAGTTTAGAAAGATAATTTGCTAGAAAAAAGTTCGAGTAAAAAGGTATTGAATAAAGCCGATTAAGGGTCATTGAAGACTTATTAAAGGAAACCGTGAATGAATACATGAATATGCACTGAAGTGTATTGTTTTAAGTTGGCAGAAATTCAGAAAATTATTTTCAAATCACTTTAAAATATTATTTACATGAAAATTTTCAGAGCTTGATTTTTGAAAACAGTGTTCATAAATGACAACTATAGATTTTTTCAAAACAAGAAGGAAATAAAACTTCGGATCCTATGATGTAATTAACATTGTCGGAGGAATAGATTCCACGTACAGGATCGTACATACGCACTACTGAGAAGTCCCACACATTAAGACGAAACGGCAGTCCAGTGCTTTCAAGTTCCCAATGGCGATCTAACACTGATCGATCAATGATTTTAATGAATAAGATTTCATTGTCTAAGGATAAAATGGAATTTAATCCAAGAACTTAGAAGTAATACATTAAAATTACTAGTCCATATGAGTAAACTTTATCAGTTCATGACGATCGATTTATTTTATTGCGAACTTCTATTCCAGTATCATTTGAATGTCAATGTTATTACATACTAGTGTATAGTGAAGTTATTATTAGAACTTTTGTTTTCAATCTTTTTATGATTTCTTTCCGCGATTCTCTTGTTATCTTTCTTCTTACACAATAAACAATGTGTATCATTGTATTACGTTGTCTTAATTATGAGGTTTTGGAAAACTTGCGGTAAATAAGCTGATGATCTATTTTATAGACACTACGAAAGAAAAAACAATTACCTTTGTCAAAAACTTCTTGAAAACTAATCTTGTCTCTAGAAGAAGGTAGGAGATTTCCAAAGGCTTGTCCAAGGACTTCATTTGTTTCTAAACCAAGAACGTTTTGGACTCGTTGATCGCAAAATGTGATAAGCGTATCTGCTGAATGACGTGTAAGGAATTCATTAAAACGATGAGGATAAAGGTCAAGGGCTTCTGGTTTGTTGACTACCTGTAAACGACCTAAAGCTATTAAACACTGAGGTACATGAACATCTGAACAATTATTTGTATCGGAACGACCGAGGTGATTATTATCGGAGATTGGAGGATTAAAGTCACTTTCTTCTGAGATGAGACCATCTGAAATAAAAGTAAAAAACCCAATACTTTATGTAATATATATAAAACCAAATGAAACAAATTATAATCTACTGTTAAGTGGCATGTTGGTTAAAGCGTAAAACGTTACCTATTCAAACACTTTTGTCCTTCCATGAATTGGATAATTCCTGTCGAAGCATACATGACAGGGAATTCGCAGAAAAACCAGCAATAAATAACGAATGTTTAACTATTATTAATTTAACAGAGAAAAATAAATTTTTGTCTGTTAGAAGAGTCAATTTGTCAGGAAGAAACTAGTTTTTTTATTTTTAGGAAAATGGATCAATTTAATTCTGTGCTAAGAATAAAAGATATTATTTAGTGGGATGGATTATGCAAATGTTTTCACCAGGTATTGAGAAACTTCGGCAAAGTAGAGAGACAAAAATGACTGAATAACTGTTTAGTTCTGGTCTAGATATTGTAATGCACAATAATTGAGCACCGCTGAAAAGCACTAGAAACAGAAACTAACTAGTGGACTATTCCAACGTTATTAGATGAAAACTATTTTTAAAAGATGTATTTTTTGCAGAAATTGATGCGAAATGTTAACGAACGGAAAAATAATCAGACTGTAACGATGATATAGAAAGTACCCGTTACAAAATACATAAGATGTAATAGTGTTAGAGATGTATTGGCCAACATAAGAGCAGGAACTAAATTTGTTTATCAGAAACTTATTTTGAGGAAAGCATAATTAAATTTTAAATGGGATCATGTTAATCGCTTGTTATCTAGCTAGTTTCATTACAAACACATGTTTCTACTCAGCTGTACTCAGTGCGAATTCCACTGCGAACAATTCACCCTTCCAAAGGTAAACACTTAGTGTCCAACTACCTTACAAGTTTTATGTCGATTATTTAGGCAGACAATAGTCGACTATCACTACAACGATATCTGAAACCAGAGTACTTTGTCTTATGGTAGATTACCTAGCAAAGGCTTCGGATCAATTCAGTATACCAAACCGTACCACTATGGCACGAATTGTCAACTATAATTTATCAGTGGTAATAGCGAAAATTAACTCTGCATAAAGCCCCTCTAGGGTTACTATAGGTAAAGGAGGAAATTCGGGCATAGGGTTAGCAGCTAAATCTCGTAAAAAAGAAACTGACCAAAAAACATAGAATTTATCTGTTTCTCGAGATAAAATCCCTTGATTGATTTCAGAATTCTTTTGTATCAATCACGAGCGAATTTCGCAATGTTTCCAAAAATTAGTAATTAATTATAAATCTATACAGAAAGCCGGAACCAACATACTGTTAACTACTGTCTGGGTTACAAATACTGTTATTAGTGGTGACACCAAGTATATATTCAAGAAAGTAAGAGAATGAATGATTAACAAACAAGTGTAACTCAGCGTGCGAAATGTGATTAGAGGATGCTTCTAAGTTAAGGGGGCAAACAACATCGTTAGTTTAGATTATATTTTAAAAGTTGCTGGGCATTCGACTACTGTTAATAAAATTATAAAAAAAGCCTCCAACACAAAAGATGTAAGCAACAAACCGAACGATTTATTGCAGTGATTCTATAATTTTATCAAAATGGATAATGGAATTGAAATTAGAAGTTGCTATACAAAGAATAATTTAGGGCGTATACATTGAACAACCTATTCAATGGTAATAAACATATAAATGGTGGTTAACAAACAAATAGTTCACAAGTGTTGAGTTATATTTTAAAAGTAAATATAACTGAGTAAGTTATTTATAAACAAAGAATCCGCGAACCTAAATTATTAACAAATTTAATAAGTATAACCCTAAAGTATTTTAAATTTATCAGTTTGAATGAATATTAAAAAAACTTAAATTTAGCGAAAAAGGCAAAAGAGGAACAGGAAGGCATGTAAACATTCGTCCAGAATAAAGAAATTAATTTTTATCTTGTATATAAGAATAACAGGTATCGGGCTTTAGATAAATTACCTTATAAGTAGATTTTTAAGGGTCTGCATCATTTCACTACAATTTGTCTTCGAAATGAGTTCATTATTGTTGCGTAAACGATACAACGATCATTTTCTATCATCTCTTACATCGCCTTCAAAATGTTTATCCCGTTGATTGCAAAACCATAAATACAGTAAAAACATAAACGTACTAATAAAAATTTCCTCCACACTGATATTTTTTGCTCTTAATTCATTAAAAGCACATACTACGAGTGTCTTTAGTGATTCCAAGGTAGTTACAAACTAATTAGATTATTCACAGTATATATATGATGTTGAACCACGACATACATATTGTTATTTTGTTAGACTTGGTTTTCTTCTAGAAACTAAATACACTAAGTACTCACACAACTTATTACTCCCGACCGTTGCTGCTACCTGGACGTCTTCGTCGGGCTTGAATATCGTTCCTCAAAGTCTTACCATGTAAGACAGGTCGGTTGAAGAATGGTAAGAATAAAAGCAGCAAACCTAAGGTCTGAAGGCGGAGTCGTACTGCTGACTGTGACGGCAGTTGTTCCTTGGGCACTGTGTAACGTTCTCAGGGCCCTAAGACCACCCTCCAACACAACTTCCTTTCCAGGTACCTCCACAGAAGAACTCTTTGACGGTGTGGGCAACCGGAAAAGAATAACTGCCCTCATACCTTAAACAGCACTCAAGATCACTGTATTCATAATCAATTTTCTTATGCTCTTCCCATTATTCCTCCTACATCGGCTTTCAGCACTAAACTTACTCCTCAAGTGTCAACATATCCAACGATTCTAGTGCGAAAAACAATGTCCCAGGTCTATTGAAAATTCGCTCTAAACTACATATTGGAGCCTTCAACGTACACACACTATGTCAAATCGGTCAGCAGGTTCCCTTGGCTAAAGCCCTAAAATTTGGTACCATTGATGTATGCTCTCTCCGAAACACGCATACACGATCCTAGTGTACTCATTCACTTGGCCTCGCCTCAGCAAAACAGAGAGCCGACGAGTTACCTTTCCGTGTATCTGACGTCCCGATGGTTAGTTCTCGTGAACTGGCAGATGTAGGCATAGCACTAAGTACGAGGGCAAAACAAGCACTATTAGGGTGGATCCCCATTAACAGTCGTCTATGTGCTGTTCGGCTAAACGGCTCTGTAAGAACTCGGAAGGATAGGGACATATTGTTGCCTTTTCGTTGTTTCTGCCTACATTCCCACTTGCTGCAGCCTGGACGGAGTGAAAGATAAATTTTACAGAAAGATTTCTGAACTTTTTCATAAAGTTAAACGCTCGAACATGGTACACGTAGCAAGTGACTTTAATGCCCAAGTAGGTAGCTTAAACGAAACAGAAAGACATTTGGGTGGGTATCCTAGTATCCCTGCTCAGCGAACAGATAATGGTGATCGTCTGCTGCAACTATGTTCAGACAATCGTTAATTTTTAGCGAGCACTAATTTCAAGCATAAGGAGAGACATCGTCTAACATGGCGACCCCCTAGTATCAAACCAACAATGGACCCAAATAGACTATATTGCCATCAGTCATGGTTGAAGAGGCTCCGTAGATGACTGTTGCCCGCTCTAGAGTACATGTTTATACTCCGATCATGTTCTAATACGAGCACGCTGGACATAGAAAAGTCACATTAAGACCCACTAGAATTGAACTGAGGGACGATAGAACCAAAAGTAGTTTCCAGGATCAACTGAGGTCACACTTAGGTAGTTCTGAAACGAGGCTGACCCAGATTTTGCTTGGAATGATATACAAGCAGCTGAGGAAAAAGTAGTGACACCTATTAATGATTTAAACCGAAGGGGTTACAAAAAGACAGTGAATTTCTTCTAAGCTTATTGCACTGATGGGTTCTCGTAAACTCATCCCACCAGGCTCTGAACACCATGAAGAGAGAAAGTAGATTAGATCTAGGTTAACCAAAAGTCTAAGGAACGACCGTGAGCAGTGGTGGGCAACAAAAGCAAAAGAGATGGAAAAGGCGGCGGCTGTATGTAACACAAGACAGCTCTTCAGACCAATAAAAGAAACTGGAACTAAAAAGTTAAATGCAAGTGAGACTATCTCAGAAAAAGACGACACTCACATTTGCTCTCAGCCCAGACGTGGGAGGGACACTTTAGATAACAGTTCAGTTGGCCTTCATCCACTGCACAACTACCCACCATTTCCAAACACTTTGAATGAGACATTGAAGTAGGCGCTCCGAAGTTCAAAAAGCTATAGTAATCTGAAACGAGGAAGAGCATCTGGTCCAAATGGATTGGCTTCAGAGGTCTTTAAGCATGGTGGTTCAGTTTTAGTGATTAGATTGACTAATCTTTTAGCTGAAATCTGGGACTCGGACGTAATCCCATCTGACTGGTCACAATATATAAGAGAGGGTCAAAATCACCCTGTGATAACCATGGAAGAATTATTTTAACTAATATAGCATCTAAAATACTAGCCTCAATAATTATCGTAGGCCTAAGACTCGTGAACTGCAAGCACGAGAAAATCAGGCTAGTTTCAGACCTGGTTGTGGCTGCATCGACTACATATTCATCATTCGTCAGGTTCTAGAAACCAGACATGCGTATCGGCATCCGACAATGGTTGTCTTTCTTGACTTAAAAGCAGAATTTGACTCTGTTGACGGAGAGGTTTTCTGTCATTGAAAGGCGTACCTCAGAAGTACATAAACCTTGTGAAGGCTCTTTACTCAAACACCACTAATCGGGTGAGAGCTTATGGCGAAATGTCACCTGCTTTTGCAACCTCAAGTGGTGTCCGGCAAGGCTGTCCACTTTTGTCCATCTTCATCATAGACATAGCGTTGTCGTCTACCGAATTTTCGGGCACTGATCTCGTTCCAGTAGGTCCACTTATCGACTTAGAATACGCAGATGACTTAGTCTGGTTTAGTGGGGACGCTGATAAAATTCAGAATCTTTTGGTGGCACTGAGTGACAATGCCAGTCGTTGCTTTAGGACTGGTCTGTGTCAGCACCTG